TATCCTAGAAATTTGCATCAACAAAAGGAAAGGAAATTTCGTTTCACTACTCTGTTCCAGAACATTTTGCATCATGTATAAAGATATCAAAATATTGAGACATTATTCAAAATAGGCAGACAATTGTGAAGAGCGGCTGTAAGTTGGAACTTCTACACATTCAGAAACTTCAAGTTTACATATTCAGTTCAGAAGTTCTGCAGCTCATCTTGAAGCCCTAATACAGTACAGCATCTGAACACAGTATTTACAACAGTTCAGGTGTTTCATTTCTTTCTTAAAAAAAAAAAACCAAACCAACCTCTCACCACTAAATCCCACTCTTACAGACTCTATTCCTGGCTTTTTTTTCCACGACTGCGCTAGCCCATGCACGGCCACTGTGTACCACATTCGTTCCTTCCCTGCCTGGAAGGCTGCAGCTACAGAAACGCTGAGCTCAGGGGTTTCCCTGCTATGATGCCCCATGATTTGGAGTTCACACACCGCATTGGGACAGAGTGGGCTACAGCTCACGTTGCTACTCCATCCAATAATCTCCCCTTTCTGTCCTAGCTCTCTCTCCTCGTCAGACTGTCAAAGGAAGAAATATAGCTTGAACCCCAGGAGCAGGCAGATATTTTGAAGAGCAACATGGGGTGGTTTTTTTAAGGCTAATTTTCAGACTGCTCAATGTTTAAATTGAACTTTGCTTAAATGACCCCATATTTGGACCACTGCTCTTACACTAGATCCCACAAGATCTTCTAAGGAAACAGATTTTTAAATCACCAGAAGAGTGACCATCATCCTTTCTCCTGAAATACAGGAGAAACATGACGATGTTACATGTTTGATTGAATCCTAGCAGCAGATCCTTGTGAGCAAGCTCAAAGAAATCATGACATACATCTAAAATTATCTTTTCAACTAAAAGATTTGAACTGAAAATATTTCAAAGTATGAGACTAATTATGAGACTAAAGAATAAGACTAATTTCTATTTAATTTTATTTTTTTTCCTCTGGATTAATGTAATACCATCTAGATTAATATCAATATAAAGTAGCAGAACAGGCATTAGTACGTTAGGCAATCTCAGTCAAACATCCATCCATGAAAGCCCTTCTGTTATCCTCACTGATGAGTCATTCGGGTTTTGCCCGGTGCCTGCAGACGGCCCTGTGTGAGGTTCCCGTACCAGGGAGGACTCGTACGGTGCAGAGAGCGATGCAAACCTTCCTTGCAAAGCCACGCTTTTCTCCCCGTGCCCTCAAAGCGTTTCAAGCTTTAAAGCAGAGCGCTGCCTCTCTAGCTGTCTGGAAGTAATGAGACCCACACCGGGATGTTCAAAGGTAGTATTTTCATCATTCATCCTCTTCGAAAGCAATGATTAAAGAAGCAATAAAGGAACACCTCTTAACTGGCAAACGTAGAAACCAGCACTTTGGAAAGGAGGAGGAGGAGATGGTTTGAAACAGACTGCAAGAGGACAATAAAAGTTAAAGAGCATTAAACAGCAGCTCCGAGCCTAAAGGTAAAGCAGCTAAGTACTGCAGAAATGAACCATAAAACCAGCACCATAAAAATGCTACGGCGATGCATTACTGCATCCTTACTTAAAGATATTTCAACCCTTCCATTATGGACCCTTATTTCAAAGAAAACAGAACGATTACGTAGCCAGCCTGGGGGCCTGTTGCAGCCATTAAGCAGCAGCAGACCAGGGAAGATCCAGGCCATGTTTGTTTGCCTTGGACCAGAAACAAGCACACTAAAATCAAGCACACACTATTGGAAGTGTTCAAGGTCAGGTTGGTCGGGGCTTGAGCAACGTGATCTAGTGAAAAGTGTCCCTGTCCATAGCAGGGTGGTTGGACTAGATATCTTTAAAGGCCCCTTCCAACCTGAACCATTCTACAGTGCTACAATTCTAAAAAAGCCTAATTAGCAACTCCGCATAAGCATTTTGCAGTCTTGTAACTCCATGAAAAGCAACAAGCTACTGCAATACAGCTAAGCATAATTATGTAAAAAATACAGAACCACAAAGGGTGCGTGGAGACTTGGGGTACAGATGCCTGAAGAGGGTACCTGAGAACATGTGCAAGCAGTAAAAGCTTACTTGACATCACAAAGAAAATAAACCAAATGTGATTACCCCCCCAACAATACTGAAACAAGAGGCGGAGAAAGGATGCATTTGGAAAATGTGCTGTCTCCAAACAGTCTGAATTTAGCCCCAACTGCCTAAGACAGCAAAGGAAAGAAGGGAAGGGAAAAACATTCTTACCAGAAAAAAAAAAAAAACCCAACATGCAGCCACACGTTGTGTTATTCAATTATTTCGATGCTCGGTACTGTTAGATAAAGAGACATCTGGAATCTAAATTGTCATCTGAGTTCTGTGGTGCTGACATAAAGCATTCCCCCCAGACAGCTCAGGTACCGCTTTTTGTTTCATAGTCAGTAATGTGACCACTTGCACATTAATTTCATTTGAGAGCAGAAGCTACTGAAGGTAACGGAAAGGTGAAAACTAAAAGTTGTGAAACTCTTCCCTGATAAAGCAGGTGCTGTCAGCACCGGCTTTGCCTCCTGAGCGCTCCGCTACTGGATTAATAAACTGACAACAAGAAAAAAAATTAGAGAGTAGTGCCCTGTGAAGAGGCAGTACAAGAGGAATCCATGTTTCACAACAAGGCAAAGCTATAAAGTAAAGGCTGAACTAAAAAGTTAGCAAAAAGGTGTCATTCTTTTTTGTGGCTACCGGTATGAATTTAGATGAAACACCAGTTTTAAAGTGAGAGAATTACAGGCTAATTCTGAAAGTCTCCAATGATTCTGCGGGCATCAATTTCAGCAAAACTCACTGCAAACCAGATAAGAAAAAAAATCATCATCTTCTGAGTTAATATTCTTGTGATGAAACTTGTCATCAAGTCCTGCCAGGTGTGTAATTTCACAAAAGAAGAAAAATTGATCCTGAAGCAACTCTGGAATAGTCTTAGAACACGGCAATCCTGTCAGGATGTTTTCTAATATCTTAATGCTTGCCTATGACAAACCTATCCATGGAAAAGCTCCAATTAACTGCTGGGTACCTTGCAACCTCCAAAAATAACAGTACTCACAAAGTAACCGTTTGTCATCAGCATGACTACATCTGTGTTCCCTGAGGTTTTGTGATTAAAAAAAATAGAAAAGGAGAAGAACTAAGGTTAGAATTGATAGTCTCCACATACAGGGAATAGGAAAACAGGAAAGAAAAACAGCCAGGCGAATGCCCAGTCCTGTTTCTCAGGGATGCCAGTATTAACCGAAAGAATCATTTTGTGAATATCCCAAGGAATTCCTTCCCTGTAAAGCATTTGGTACATTGGGACATTCTTAACCCATCAGAAATGACATATTTCAGCTACTGTTGTACCCAAGAACAATTTCATATGAAAACAGACAAGGAGCTGCAGGGAGTTACTCTACGTTAGAATTAAAAGTATGTTGTAATCCTGTGGGCAACGAACCCCACAGCAACAACTAGCCCAGGCTGAATAGGACCAACACTTTTATCTTGTCACTCTTAGTCTAATACCAAATCCAGGATGCCAAAATTAAGTTCTAAATAGCAGCGGATACTCTCACAGAAGCAGCAGTTAAGAGCAGAGCTCCACTCTTAATTTTTTTATTTTGCTAGCTCCAGACGTTCAGGGAAAATTCCCTTCCCTTCTGCTTTTTGGACATTTCAGGATTCAGATAACTTGGTTTTGCTTTTCAGCCCCCTGCTTCTTCATGGCTCCCACGTTACCATTTTAGCAAAGTAGGGCAATGTGAACGAAGCCCCTTGTCACCATTCCAAAACTGGGCGCAGGAGCACTGGCTGGGCACAGGCCCCCCGCTCCTTTCAGTCTCATTTGTTCCCCACGGTGCTACAACCACTGATTAACTGCCGGGAACAACAGCCTGGGTGTTGTAAGCTTCAATGCAGCTACACCAACACCTCCCAGAGCTCCAGACCAGAAGGCAGTCTTTAATCAGGCTCTGGGAGGGACCGGGCTAGACTGCGTGGCGGTGTAACTACACCAGACCTAGCTACTCTGGGCATGATCCAGCAGAGTGGCATTCAGTTCCCAGAAGGCTGCAATTCACGCATAACGGCTCAGAAGCTGCGGCCACCAAGCAGCTAAAACCGTGGCACGAGTCAGGGGTACAGCAGCTCCCTACCTGGGTGCGGGGTTTGCAGCTCTCCGGGCAAGCAAGAGCACTCCACTACTCCGATCGCTTTTCTCAGCACCACAATGGCTAATTTTAAATGCTGGGAGATCAGCTCTGCCAGCTCCGCTATTTAAAGCACAAGTTAAATATGTTTGACATTCCATACCCCAAATGACAACAAAACAGAATATTTAGAACTGCAGCATGTCAGGCATTTATTTATTTATTTATCTGGCAGGCCTAAGTGCTGCACCTTTTCATTTATATGCAACTGTTTGCCCCACGGGCATCAAGCTGTTAACACGTACAGAAGAGATTAAAATGAGCTTGCATGCTGGATGAAATATAAATTAAAATTATAGTGCTGTCAGTCTTGAATCTGGGATTGTTTCTCAAGGTCTCCCAAAATGCATAATTTCAAATGAGCCTCTGTTTGTTACTTCAGGAAAGGCAAAATGTATAATTTTTCAGCAACATAGTCAATATGAATTGTAAGTAAGTTGTCCCTGAGCCTGTGAGTAAAATATGCTGTGCTAATACCATGAGCTGTGTATGCAGGGATGGTCCAAATCACTAAAAGGCTTTAAAATGGGACAGAGAGATGTCCACCTGTCCACCTTGCAACGCAAAGCACATCAGGGGCTTGTAGGCATTCTAATATCAGTAATGCCCAATGCTGTGTCAGCCAAAACCATCGCTGACACAAAGTGACCTAAGCCCCATCCCCTAACGAGCCAAACGGTTTTCTCTGTGCACTTCAGAGAGCCCTGCAGTGGCATCACCCAGGGGTGCCCGTCCACGCGACCCACCTGGTCTCGAGCGGGACGTTGCTGTTGAGCACCCAGCTGTCCTGGAGCTGCACGGACTCGGGGGTGGTGGCCAGGTCATTGGGCGCCGGAGCAGGCGCATGGATCTGGTTCCGGCGATTTGTGAGCGAGTTCCTGTTGAGGGAGTTGGCAGAAGAATGATGATGGGACAGCGAATGGTTGTGAGGAGGAGGGAGAGGCGGCCTCAGCGTTGACTGGCTGTGATGATTTGAAGGGCCTAAAATAAAAAAGAAAAATACATCACAAATGCATGTTGATGGTACTATTCTCCTTGGCATTTTCAGGAGACCACTGCCTGGAAAAAAAAGCCAAACCCCGCAATCAGTAAGCTAAGCCTGTGTGCCTTTCGGACCTGTAGGCATTAAATTACTGGTTATTAGAGATCAGAGATATGGAACAGCATTTCAAGGTTGCGCAGTTGGGGTGTTCACAAAGACTACAATTAAATTTAAAAATACTCCTTTATGGATTCTCCCTGGAGAAAGGCTCCTCTGGGGAGCAGTCTAGCTTGACCATTCTGTACATCCACCCAGAAGAACTTTTTCCTCCCTGTTTCTATCAGGGACTTTAAGGAGATGAACCTTAATGGATTAAAACCAGCTTTTGAGAATACGGTCTTCAGGATCCTATAAAACTTAATCAGAGATCTCAATCTGCTTTCATTCACTGTTATTTTACCAATTAGCTTCAAACGAACAGTATTTGTACCAGTCAGAGAAGATTAAACTCCAAATATGAAAAGAGAGCAACAATGCAATGATGATATCTTTCATGTTCTTCCATGTGATCAGGATTTGGCTTCTATTTTTCTATTTAGCAATGCCACAAACAGACACCAAGATCTGAAAATTATGCTACTCTTTCAGCCTCCACTGAAAAATGACAGACGATGGTTTTTAGAGATAAGGAAGGATATACGCTTTTCTCATTCTTTGAGTACTGACATGTTAGCATTGATACTGAAAAGAATTTTTTCTAATCAAATAAGGCAAGTGGATTAAAATAAAAAGCACATGAGAAGAAAATAGAATAAGCAGGTGTCATTCTAGCATAGTCACTTTTCTAAACATAAATGCAGAATGGTGAATAGGTTTAAGTGTAATTCCATATGTTGCAATAATTCTAATAAAAATAGTGAAAGAGATTAAAGAAAACAAACCCTATAAGGGTATTATGAACCTCATGCTTTAGTCATTATATCAAGTTGTAGTTTTCTAGTGAACAATAATATGAAAAAATAGTACTAGCGAAATTATAATTGCAATGATGTATGTTTGTTTTTAGAAACTGAAGCACATTCTGTATTTAATGAATCAAACAATAAAAGAAAACATCACAAGGGAAAACCATTTTCAGCCAGACCGATCTATTTTTATATGAAACAATGAAGTATAGAAAAACTGCTGAACTGATTAATTAACTGTAAGTTAATTAAGACCAATATTTAAAAAAACCAAAACAGAACAAAACAACCCCCCCAAACCAACAAACCATTCAAGGGCGGCTGATCCCAACTGAGAATCAGGCCACGCAGCCAGGAACTGAAATCAGTGCATCATTTCAGGCTCCGAGTCCTAAAGTTCTTATCAAAACACGGTTCATAAGCAGGGGGCTATTTTAGACTCACGTTAAGCCATCCAAGAGAGGAGAAGTAACTATCTCCTTTCTTTTGTACAGGGAAATGCACCGATATGGCAGCTCAAACACTGGCCATCGGAGGGGCGAGCTGGCCCGGCACCCCGAGTCGCAGCAGCGACCATGTCCTGCTGGGTCCTGAGCACCCCGGGACCAGCTCCTCCCTGGCACCGCTCTGCTGGCTGCCCGCCCCAGGGAAAAGCAATGAAAATGCCTGCTCCTAACAGCAATGCAACCAGGGAACAGAAAGAGAAGAGAGCTTTTTGGAGAGAGATCATTAATTTTCTTAAGCGTTTCTGCGGGCACAGGGAAGCACAGGCTGATGAAGAAGAGACAGACAGGTTTACCGGGACAGGTAGAAGTTGTCCTGGGACAAGAAACTTCAAGAAGGGAATGATAACAAATTCTGCATCCTTCACATGCTGAAGTTTCTTTATCTTTTTTGAACGCCTGTTGCCTGAACGCTCACCCTATGGTAGCGTCAACTGCTTTAAAGACAAAGACACCTTTCATGAGCACATCCTAAATTTTAGGACCATCATATGTGCTGCTCTCTTCACCATCCTTGCCTTGGCTACGTCTTACCTAAGCTTGAAAGAGACTGTTTAGCCCAGCAACCTTTGTGTCGACAAACTGCATTTGGACCTCCTAAACCATAAATGTCTAATCCGCACTAGGTCCTGTGCCATTCCCGAACAGCATGTGGAGTAAAACACAGCAGGAAGAAAATGTGTTTGGACAATATCCATGCGCACAGAAGCTTAAGTGGAATTACTCTCCTAGTCTGTGTCCTGGCTTTAAACAAAGCATGTTTGGATTTCAGGAAGTGGATATTTATGAGTGATAAAATACAAACGTGTGCCCTTGCATTAAAAATTACTTCAGAAGTTTTGTGTGCTTTATATTTTCTCAACTTGCTTTGGATGCAGCTTTTCCTCTTGGAGGATAAATATGGAAAAGTCATACCCACATAAACAAAAAAGTTTTGCTCTGAGAGACACAGCAGTGCCAGCTCTATAAAGACCCTGAATCTCGAAACCACAAAATCATAGAGGCTGTTCTTAAAAGTGAGCCAACTGCACATCAGTAAGAACGAACAGAATTTCTCTAAGATTAAGAAAGCAAGAACTGAATTCAAGTTACCACGAATTAATTTAGTCTGCCTAAAAACTCAGCTTGCACACAGTAAATAAAACGTACTGCACAAAATAAGCTGTGGAGAAGTAACTGAGCATCTACTGCAGCTGTAAAACTGCAAAAATCTGGTGTAAGATGAATATAGCACTTAATATAGAATAAGAAACCAAATACCAATATCAACGTTATATAGATATTATGTAGTTTACAGCAAAACATATAAAAGCTTATATATAAAAAAAGTACTAACTAGGGAGCATGCACACACACTCATCTGCAGATAGGAGAGATAAAAGCTTAATATGCTGCTTCTTCATAAACCTGTTTAAATGAATGAAAAGCAGAAGCTGAGCACCACTGAACTTGCCAGGGATATAAAACTGGATTCACATCTGAACATCTGAGCACCACTTTATGAGCATCTTTGCCTAAATTAAAACTTCAACAGCAGTACCTGCAAATCTGCTGAGCTCAGGAGTGCGGAAAAGTAAATCACTCGTCCCGTACTAAAAGATCAGCAGCCTGCAGGACTGGCACGACGTAGCTCTGCCGCCTCTGGCCGACTGGTAGCTCAAACACAGCAAGTGTCTTGATGGAGTATATCTGGCTTTTTACGTTAGGAAGGAGGTTTTATTTTTGATAGAGCAGTTGCCAATATTGGTTTGGGGAAAAATACTGAGGAAATTATGCCATTTCTCAATTATTACATGAATTAGGGGTTTCACCAGAATACCCTAAAGAATCTCAGACATTTAGGGTATAAGGAGAAGTGTCTTAAAACCACAATGAAAATCAGAGAACGGAAATCTGAAATACTGGTACCCTCCCATTTTGGCTTTTTTATTTTTTAATTTCTAATTTAAATTCACAAATAGACAAACATACCTAATTCTAATGAATTTTAGTACACATTGATTGTGCTGAGCACTTCTGAAAAATCAGGGCCTGATAACCATATAATCAACAGGTGATTCTTCAAGAGATCTTACTGCGGTCAAGAATATCAGCAATGCTCATTTCCAATGTGCAAATTAGAAGCTGAGTGAGGATAAACTGTGTTCTAATTAACTAATCTGAGAATATCAAGTCTGATCTACATATCTTTGAAGTAATCATAAGCTATCCAAATGACTTATTTGGGTTTAATCAGAACCAAAATGCTAAAAAAGAAAAAAAAAAAGATGTTTTGCTCTGTTCATTCTTTTATCCAGTAAAACAATTAAACAGATCAGGCGAGCACAGAGGTAAAATTCAGCAAAATAGCACTTGTCTCCTTAAAAACAACCAAAAAACTGACCCTGAGCATGATCCTGTCACTATTGTCTTCCCTTCTTTTGGGTGCATGAGCGTATCAGATCTGCAGCCCAAAGGATGGCCCCACGGCTGCTGCCCCGCTGGGCACGACGCCGGGTGAAAGCAGGGGTGCCATGGAAGCGCTGGGTGGTGGATCCCCCCGCAGAGCCCCCGGGAGCCTGTGCCGCTGCATCGCAGCAGCCTTATTCTGGCACGAGCCTGGCAGCCTCAGGGATCGGGAGAAGCCATGGGGTGGATATGACAGTGCTAGGTTAACGGTTAGACTCGATGATCTTAAAGGTCTTTTCCAACCTAAAGGATTCTATGATGTCCCAGCGTTGCAGGTATGACAGCCAGGGCTGCGTGCTCCTGAGCGCCCGCTGCCAAACACCACTGCTCAGCTATCTTTGCAGTTCAAACACTGCCTAGAATATGAAGTGAAACTTCAGATCTGCTTTAAAGTGGTCAAATTATTTTTCAAAGTTCTTCCAAGGCTTTGGTACGCTCATTTAACACGTGCACTAAATCCACGCAACACAACAATCTGAGAAGAACAAGTTAATCTCCCACCTCAGAGATTAAATTCAAAGCAGAATCAGCAGCATCCCTAATCCAAGCAAAGCAATCGCTTCCCTGCATCCCAGCTCTTTGTCAATACTACCTCAAAAAAGTAACGGAGATTGTATCTTAGTTGTGCTGAATTAGCCTCTGTGCCATGATTAAACGCTGAAGAGAGACATAAACACCTCCTCATCAATCCTTTTCACAAAAGAACTAAAAGAAAAAACCCAAACACGTATTATTTTTCTGAAATGAACAATGATGCAGCTATTTCCTTACACGTCTAAACAATACAAATATTGAACGCAAAAAGATAACGAAGCTGATGCACTGAAAGAAAAAATGAATTTGGTAAAGCCACAGAAAATTCTTGTTAGCCAGCATTAGAAACCCAGCCTTCAGTATTCCCAGTTCTTTATTCAAATAACTCTACCACAGTGTTTTCTCAAGGAAACCACATCATCTGCTATCACAATGAGTAACAGATTTTTCACAGAACCACAGGGCCACCTTCCAAGCTAAATCCATCTTCCAAGGCAGATCACATTACTCAGAGTCAGGCAGAAAAGCAAGCATCGGAACACCCAGCAA